GCGCGCGAACACCGAGTTGATTCGTCTTTCGCATCTCCTCCTTATGTTTGAACAGACACATACACACAGAATTGTCAATAGTACCCGTCTCGACTATCATTCTCGTAAACGCAGTCAGTTGTTTTAAATGAATGTAAACAGCTGAGAAAGAAATCGGATGTGTATCATTATACTCTGGATCCGTGCAGACGGATTTAAAGGGACAGCAGCCTATAAATACGTGCTGCTGAAAATGTCACTAATGTTAATCAAACAACAAAACAGCTATAACAAAGATTAATCTAAATTTAATTCAGACAGTGAATACTATGCAGTGTTATTTTACACTTAATTATTAAATTTCTGTACCTGAATACTACTGTTTATATTATCTATGCTTGTAAATTGTGTATTTCTTTTTTTTGTTCTTTTTCTTTCTTTTTTTCTACTGACTGTTCACTTGCCTTTAATCATGTTTGAACTTTCTCAGACTATAGTTTTTGCTGTGGTATATGAAGAAGTACTTAAAGTGTATGGAAAGCAAAGTTACAATGATATAAAATTAGAGTCGTTAATTTTTTTTTGTTTGTTTGTTCACACTGATGTTTAAATGACATTTTCTGATTTGTGACATTACTTTTTATGTAATGCTAAAACACTGCTGGTCACTTTCAGAAGTTGTAGTGATTCTTTTTTTCCAAAAAAGAATGTGAAACAAATTGGTTATATAATTTTAATTTTTAAATATTTTAAAATATAATTGAAATTGATTTTACACACTTTAAGCAATATTGTATCGCATATCAAATATTGCATTTCTTAACAAGGTATCGCATATCGCATTTTTCTTCAATATCGCACAGCCCTAGTATACAGTATACTTTATATTCTATTGAAGGAGTTACTTTATGCGTTATGTGTTGCTTCATGATTATTGCATTGTTTTTAGTGACATTTAGTGACATTAGTTGCAAAACTACTTAAATACAAAGCAACCCTATATGAAATATAAAATTAACCTTATGGAACCTCAAACATCAATATATTGTATATACTGTATATTATATTTTAAGATTTACATTCCTTGTCAGAAAATCATCATTTTGCTTTGTGATTTTTGCCTATTTTTGGTGATGCTAGTGGTGCAGAATTTATATCACCACTTAAATACACATCAGCCTTGTAGAACCTCATTTCACAAACTTATGAAACATTAATGTATTGTATAAACTGTATATTTAATGAGTTTATTGTAGAGTTTTTGAACAAACTTCTTGTTTCAATCTGACAGAACCATTTTGACCTTTTATGAATTACATTTACATTCTTCTAATAATTACATAAGGCCTGTATTTCCCATGGATCAAGCATTCCCAGAACCAGTAAAGTGCCTTGTCAACTGAGCTCTGACGCAGAGAGCTGACTGGAACATCACAACCATAGCAAATGTCTCCAGACAGTGCAGCTCTGCCCAAACAAAACAAACACGCATGCCACAGTTTAGGATCTTACCTCAGAGCCTTCTGCATTGAAGTGGTCCAGTGCTTGTTTTCTGAGCTCTCCCTTGATGGAGCCGTCCAAACGCTGAACATGAGAGAAGACACAGATGCGGTTAAGGAATGTCAAGTGTGGGCACTTTGACCAAACTAGGGCACCTCAGCTATACACCCATAAAATCCTAAAACCCCCTAAAAAGTCCCCACAAAATTATGACCACGCTGAGGATGTTTTGCCAGACCAAGATGCAAGCTGTGCTAATGCTCAAAGCTGCACCGATCAAAAAATATCCTAGGGATAAAAATAGGCTCGGTGAACTTGCTGTCTGAGCAGACATACTGCAACCCTGACACATGATTCCCTAAATCACCCGAGTATACGTCCATACAAGCTACACCTCTGAATGTCTCCTCAGATATTACAAAAATACAAATTGTCAACTGTACAAGGACACTAAGCAAGTGCATTCACATAATTTTGTAATCGAGTACTCGGTAGCACACAAAAACAAGTACCGCATTTTCCCGAAAAAACACATGATTGTAAGTGCAGCACCTGGTCAAAATTTTACTGAAGAGAGAAAAAATGTGACTCAGGTTGTGGAAAATATGGTAATCCATTTCTTAAAAAAATTCAAATGTAAGTTAAACAGAACTTAAGTATGCAATGTATTTTGTTTTATTCAGAAATGTTTCATCACTGATAATTATTTCCATGCAAGTTAACTTTCAAAGTGATTTAAAAAATCCCAAAATTCACCTCAAGTTTACAGACAAACTAATTTCAAAAGTAGACTGCCACCATTAGCATAATATAAGTATACAAACGATGTCTAGATACAAAGTTTAACACATTCCTATTCAGAAAAGCAAGTAGTGAAAGTACAAAAAAACTAGAGCCCGACCGTTATATCGTTTAGCCGATATTATCGGCCGATATGAGCCTGTCGCCGATATATCGGTATCGGCGAATATGCCGCCAATATGAAATTTTTTTTACAGAACATATAACGCAGATAAAATGTTTGAAATGGAGTAATTACTTAGTTTGTCCATCAGAGTGTGCTCCATTGTTTGCTACTGGCAACCTGGATGAAACGCTTTAAAGCTTAAGTCTATGGAAAACCACTGGAACTTTGAACGGCCATATCTCCGTAAAGGTGTGGCGAATCCGCACCAAATTCGGGGGATCCCTTCAGCAGTGGACTTCACATGATATTCCGCCATGATTCCAGTTCCAAGGGAATGTACACGTTACATTCAAAGGGCATTAAAATGTGCGAGACGTGAATTTATATTTATTTACAGAGGTATATTATGTCACACTTCACACTTCTCTAGTAAGTTTCGTCTGTGTGTGAAGACAGTAGCGCAAATCCGTGAATGAATGTTCAAAAGTGAAATAAACTTCAACAGAATAAAGTTGAATGGAATCGAATTTAATTGAATTAAAGTTATCAGACTCATTTTGGATAATAAAGTTTATTGTTAAATTGTTAAATGCCCTGCCTCCATTACGTATCTCTGTCACGTCATTATAAGTGTTTGATCACCACATTTGAGTGATCATTGCAAAAAATGTGTTTATGTTGAGTGATCATTGCAAAAAATATGTGTTTATGTATATATATTCTGTTTATGTATATACTGTATTCTATATATAGTACCAGTCAAATGTTTGGACACACGAATGGGAAAGTGTCCACACTTTTGACTGGTACTGTACTATAATATACTCAAAGAATATCGGCCGATATATCGGCCTTTTTTTACTCCCTAATATCAGTATCGGCCCCAAAAAACCCATATCGGTCGGGCTCTACAAAAACAACTGACAAGCGATCAAGTATCTTTTTATCTTTACAACAGATCCTTATACATTATTATTACTTTTCATAATATAGAAATATTGCCACATGGCTTCATCGCTTATCATCTTAACGGCACATATCCACAGCACCACCCAGTGCATTCAGTGATCACTGCGAGATTTAGGTACAGGAATAATGCTTTTACTGCAAGTCGGCCAGTCAATTACACATGTACATTCCTAGTAGACATCTTTCTAATTGTAGGGCTGGGCGATATGGCCAAAAAATTTTCTCTGTATTTTTTTTTTCATATCAGTCGATATTGATAATTATCACGATAAATGTAAATTTTTTCATTTCTTTCAAGTTTAAAGGCAGATTTTTGCTCCAATGTGAATGTTGTAACAACCAGATGGTTAATTGTGGTTTTCAACTATTCTTTATGGTCAGAACATGACAAACACTTAGTTTTTGAATTCTTTACACTTATTCAGTCATTTTTCCCTAACAAAATAGATATCTTAATAGAAAAAAATTATTTCTTAGTTCTGCATGTTCTAGTAATGAGTAATATTGTTTCAAATCAAGAAACAAGTTTGTGTTGCCTGATAATATTAATTACATTTTAATTTAAAAAATTTTGTCTCTTAGAAATAGAGTTAGGATGCAGATGTAGATTTATGTTCATTATCAAATTCAGTAATATCTGTAAAAATTGTAGCAATCTCATTTTTGTATGGTGAAATTTAATTATTCTGACTATTTAAGGTGTTTTTTTTAACCACTGGTCTTCCATAACATACATTTAGATCATGATAATCACAGTTAAAACCACAAATATAGCACCTCAATACCATGGTAAAAATGTAATATGGCTTGTAGGGATTTATGAGAAACCGAAGTCTAAATACATTTATAAATGCATAAACGCTATAGCTTAATCACAAAAAAATACTGTAATTATATTCCATTACTCCTCCTTCAATATATTTAATACATGTCTACATTAATAATATAATAAAATTCGACACGAATACCCACATTTCTGACACAATACCATGGTGCAGTTAGTGCTAATACAGTAAATCTATGGTAAATGATGGCGATTTGTAGATTAAAAAGTCTTCTGACTGTATCGTTGCGCAGTGTTTCTGCTGTTTGTCAGCGCTGTTTCATCTGGCTGTAAACAGAGTTATTTGTGTTCCTTGCTGAATTCAAGCGTTTCACACTGGATCTCACAGCGCTGTTCAGTGTCGCGTCAGCGAGACTCATCAGCGAGTGAACACATCTGCTCTAGTGAAGCTCGTGCCGCGCCGCTGTTTGAACTTTGATTTGAGCGGATAAACACTCCGAGTGGCGCGCTTCAAACGCCTAGCGCTCTTTCGTTCCGCCTTTACCGCATTATATCACACATTTATCGAACTCTTGTAATAGTTTATCGAGGAAATCTATATCGTGCGATAATTAACGTTATCGATTTATCACCCAGCCCTAGTTCATGGTGCTGTACAAATAAACAATTTAACACTTTGCAGTTCTCTTCAGATCATACCTGAAATGGATATCGATTCAAAGACAGGTATTCAGCAAGGATGTCCAACATTCGGACCATCTGAGAGAAGATGAGCACACGGTTGCCTCTCTCCCTGAGACGCGTGAGAAGCTTGTGCAGCAGAACCAGTTTCCCGCTGCCTCGCACCAAGTTCTGAACAAACATTAACAAACAACCTTAAAAAAGACGTTCTCCTAAGAACAAAATCATTCTGTTCCAATCTAGGAGAGTCATACCTGTAGGTGCTCTTGTGTTTTCTCATTCTCAACCTCCTCTGGTTGTTTGATGAGAAAACCATGGTTACAACATTTCTTCAGCTCCATGACAACGTTCAAAAAGCCAGAAGAGCTGCCTCTGGTGCCTTTAGACAAGGCTTTGTAGTTTCTTGTTAGGATCCATCTGAAAAGGTCACATTACAAATGACAGATGTTCTCTGAACACTTGCATTCCAATTGCATACGGTCTTAAAGTCTGGAATCAAAATTTGGCTCAATCAAAGAGTTACTCGATTTAGAGAGCTATTGGAAAGAGGCTGGATAAAACAGCACTCACTTGTAGAACTGTTTTTGCTGGGCAGACATGTCAACTCTGAGGATTTGCTCCACTTTAGCCGGCAGGGATTTCTCTACATCTTTCTTGACACGACGCAGTAGGAATGGCTCCAGAACTTTGTGGAGGCTCTGATAACCATTATCTCTGCCTTTACCATGCTCATCCTCAAAATCCTCCCAGGACTCAAACCTAATGGGAGGTAAAGTCAAAAACAGGGGTTTTAAACTTTTTGACACCAAAGACCCCCAAATATGATGATCCCCTAACTAAAATATAAAGGCAGCTCCATAAGTTCATGTTAAAAGACCCATTTATACTGTGTGAGAACATACTAAATATAATATTATAAAGAGTACTGCTTATTTCTTCAAGTAATTAGAATTTAATTCAAAGGGATAGTTCAGCAAAAAATAAAAATTCTGTCATCATTTACCAAACATCTTGACGGCAGCCGTTGACATCCATAGTACTTTTTTCCATACTATGGAAGTCAGTGGCTACCCTCAAGTGTTTGGTTACCAACATTCTTCAAAATATCTTCTTTTGTGCTCAACAGAAGAAAGAAACTCAAAGATTTGGAACAGGTAGAGGGTGAGTAAATGGATTACAGAATTTTGATTTTTGGGTGAACTTTACCTTAAATAATTATCTAAAAATACACTACCATTCAAAAGTTTCCAAAGATGTTAAATATTTTCTGGTAACTAAAGACCAAAGCTTTTTTGGTAACTCTTTACGATGAGGTTTCATTTGTTACACATTAGTTAACAAACTAACAATGAAAAATACTTCTAAAGCATTTATTAATCTTAGTTAATTTTGATTTCAGAGCGAATTCTGCAGTGGGGTCCCAGTAATGAGTAGCCTGTGATTGGATCGAAAGTCGATCAGAGTTTTATATAGCAGCGAGTCGTCATTCTTTAGCCGGTGAGCTTCATCAACTCCGAGGAAAGCCCAGTTTATATTCCCTATTGATTTCAACATTTACTAATACATTATCTATTCATGTTATTTAATGGACCTGAGATAACATGGACTAACAATGAACAGTTTAATACTGTTCAGATTAATACTGTAACAAATGTATTGTTCATTGTTAGTTAATGCATTAAATGTGGTTAACAAATGGAAACTTATTGTAAAGCGTTACAGATTTTTTAAGTGTGTGTGTGTGTGTGTGTGTTTTAAGTCTATTATGCTCACCAAGGCAGCATTTAGCACTCCCTGCACACACAGACAAGTCTTGACTCAATCATTTGTGAATAATGAAGAACAACTCATTTCTATGACAAACAATCCAAGTACAAAAGATTCAATCGAACATATGAATATCATACCTTGTCCTTCAGTAGAATTTCATATGTGGTCAAAAGTGCATTAAACTTGATCCTTTTTGTCTGCTGGTGGATCCATTCATAGTCCCGGATCTGGTCAAAAAACAGAGTTACAATGAACAGTTTAATACTGTTCAGATTAATACTGTAACAAATGTATTGTTCATTGTTAGTTAATGCATTAAATGTGGTTAACAAATGGAACCTTATTGTAAAGCGTTACAGATTTTTTAAGTGTGTGTGTGTGTGTGTGTTTTAAGTCTATTATGCTCACCAAGGCAGCATTTATTTGATCAAGAGCACAGTAAAAACAGTAATATTGTGAATTACTGACATTTAAAATAACCAGCTTCTATTTTAATATATTCAAAAATGCCATTTATTCTTGTGTTGCTTAAGCTGTATTTTTAACAGCCATTTTTCAATGCATTTTCAATTCAAATTTATTTGTACAGCGTTTTTGCAATATATATATATATATATATATATATATATATATATATAATCTAAAATATATTTAATAAATGTCTTAAATTAACATTTAAGACCACAGCTCTTTAAGTGAATTCTGCAGTGGGGTCCCAGTAATGAGCAGCCGGTGATTGGATCGAAAGTCGATCAGAGTTTTATATAGCAGCGAGTCATCATTCTTAAGCCGGTGAGCTTCATCAACTCCGAGGAAAGCCCAGTTTATATTCCCCAGCACTCCCTGCATACACAGACAAGCCTTGACTCAATAATGTCTGAATAATGAAGAACAACTCATTTCTATGACACACGAAGCAAGTACAAAAGATTAAGTCAAAGATACATGAATATCATACCTTGTCCTTCAGTAGAATTTCATATGTGGTCAAAAGTGCATTAAACTTGATCCTTTTTGTCTGCTGGTGGATCCATTCATAGTCCCGGATCTGGTCAAAAAACAGAGTTATACCTCAAACCAGCATTATTATAACAAGTTGGATTCTTTGTGGTTGGATTGTCTCAGCATGAGTACTAGCTTACTGTCTTTCTACTTGTGACGTCTCCCAGGTACACCACTACATTCATGTCCGGGGCCCATGTATCAAACTCCCTCTGCCAGGAAGTGAGGGTTGACAGGGGTACCACCAGGAGGAAGGGACCATAAAGCTGGTGCTGATGGAAAAGGTAGGAAAGGAAGGAGATCGTCTGAATGGTCTTCCCCAGGCCCATTTCATCAGCCAAGATAACACTGTTACACCTACAGAACATCACAGAAACCAGAGATGAAGAAAGCATGGTTCATTCAAAAGCAAGAACTAATATGAAAGCTTGATATTAACTACTTTTTAAATTAACTAAAACTATTGAAATCACGTTTGTTAATCAAAACAATAAAACTGAAATAAAACAAACAATAAATATTAGAAGAAAAACAAAAAAAAACTTAAATGACAATAAAAAATGTTATCTCAGCAACTAAATAAAATAAGATGAAGTACTAAAACTACTAAAACTGAATTTAATGAAAATAATAATAAATACAAAAAGAAAAAACAATAGTAATATAAATATAAAAAAAATAAATATTTAAACTAAAATTAAAATGAAAGTAAAAATATAACATATAATATAAGCTAATGAAATTTAAATTTCATGAAACTAAAACAAAATGACATGTAACCTTGAAGTGTTTCTACAATGTGTCAATATTATTTAAAGGTTTTCCCAAGCAATTATTTCAGTAATTAAACAGTCAATACTCTTTTTAGTACTGTTGTTTAATTACTGTTGTTTAAGTTTTATTTATACTTCAAGGCTTTATGCACAGAAATAATATTTTGACACAAATTGAACGCCAATGCCTGTACTTCATCTGTAATAGTATTAAATTCCTAACTAAAAGCTCCACTTGTATGTAACATACCTGCACCAGGAGTGAGCAAGCCAGTTCACTCCATCTAACTGGTAATCTCTGAGTTGAAGGACCTCATCTCCAATGTAAGAAGGCTGCTTCTTCAAGGCCACAAATCTTGGCCTCTGTTTCAATACCTTCCATTTGGACAAAAAAAAAAAGAAAAGAAAATATGACAACTTCAACACCTTTTCCCAAAGAAGAAAGAAAAGCTCCATCAGTACACGGTCTCATACTCACCTTGCAATCTTTGGAAGGAACTGTCTTATAGGCACTTCGGTTTTGGAAACCATCAACGCAGGCCTGAAATTTCTTTCCGATTAATGCACCATCCTCCCATGTGCACTCTGCATACGGCAGCCCCATCCACTTACACATATACTCTGGCACGCTGGAACTGGTTTTATGAGCTGTTGCGACAAATAAGAAAATGATTCAAGTAGTAAACATCTCTCTTGACCAAGTAAATCAGAAATAGTGCAATTTCAAAAGCAGCAAACTTACAGGGAATGTCTGAAGGTGGTGGTGATTTCCCAGTTCTTGTTGCTGATTAAATGAGAGAAAAAGAAAATGAATAACAGATCGTAACAGTTTTTTTTTTTTGCTTTTGAAAATAATACTTTACACTGACCAAAAGTTACAAAAAAGACATTTACATGTTAAAAAAGATATTTAGCACAACTTTCTATCACTCTAAGAATCCTAAAAAAAATCTCTCTCTATATATATATATATACACTAGTCAACATTTGAAGTGGATCAATACCTTTCATCAAAGTTGTCCTAAAACCAAAAACCAAAATGCGTTATTGTCTTAGGACAACTTTGATTAACTTTTTTGATCCACTTCAAATGTTAACTACTGTATATCATGGTTTCCACTAGGGGGTGTGTCGGTACACATATTCGTACCGAACATTTTCGGTACAGGTCTTTTGGTTCGGTACGCATGTATACCGAACAAATCATAAATTTTTTTTTCAGGAAATTCAGACAATAAATGCCGTTTTGGCGCTCTTTGATGTGGCGTGACAGATCGCTGTATAAACGCCTCAGTTTAAACTGCTGCGCAGAGCGCGAGTCAGCGTGATCATCTCTTCCTTCTTTACTTCTAGTTTTAATGTGAAATAAAATCGTATGCCTCATGTAATCACTCAATCAGTGTTTCAATCGTGGATAGACGTCATTAAAACAGCTTGTAAACAAAATTTCACGTAGCATTTCATTTACCTCAGGCAAGTCATCAGTGTCCACATCGTGTTAGTTCACTAGAAAATAAGTCTAGGCTGGCTATATACTCATTATGTTTTACTTTACCTGTTATTGATGTCTGAATTATTTAATAACATGGTGTACCGTTACACCCCTAGTTTCTACAAAAATATTAAGCAGCACAATAATTTTTAACATTGATAATAATAAATGTTTTTTGAGCACAAAATCAGCACATTAGAAGGATTTCTGAAGGATCATGTGACACTGACTGGAATAATTGGCTGCTGAAAATTCAGCTTTGCCATCACAGGAATAAATTACATTTTTAAATATATTAAAATAGAATGCAGTCATTTTAAATTGTAATAATATGTCATAATATTACTGATTTTACTGTATTTTTAATCATATAAATGCAGCCTTAACATGCTAGGAGAGATGCTAACTACATTTCAAGTATGGGGTTGGTAACATTTTTTTTTAAATAAGTCTTATGCTCACCAAGGCTGCAATAATTTGATATAAAATACAGTAAAAACAGTAATAAATATATATATATATATATATATATATATATATGAATGCTCCGCATGCCCAGACCATTTGAGAGAATAAGTTCACGGGATAACTCATATAAACATGATTATAAGTTGATCCCTTGTCATTTGAAATGTAACTTAAAGCTTAAAGAGTTAGGAATAAGTACGTAAAATTATTTTTTTTTGCCAAACGGCAGTAATTTTCTGTAAATCTGCGTCAGTTATGGTTGCTTCCGGGCGAGCGGATTCTCCGCAGCTTTCTCGCCTCCGCTCTGTTGCTATGACTCATCAGGATTATAGCGCGTTCTCAGTGATTTGCTGGTCTGCGGCAGATTTAATGCGC